CACTGCCCTGTGACTTATACTTGAAGGGTAGAGCTCAGTGGATCTGACTGCTTTTCACACGGGCAGCTATATGTAGCCTGCTCAAAAGTCAGATCTTCTCGCAGCCTATTTATCCATGCCCCAGGTGGACGTACTTCCAATGTTGTCTATCAAGAGGCTCTTCGGTAAATAAAACTAATTTTTTCACAGATGTGTGATACACTACAAACACACAAGTACAACTCATCACAATTTGACATTTTCCGTTTTTTCTAAGTGACGCAGTTAACACATGATCCACAGTATCTTTTGTTAACTTATATTTAATTGTTATAATAATGTACAATAAAAAATGTAATGTAAATAATGTACAAGTAATTTGTTTGTTAATTGTTAAATTAATGTATTATTTATACACACAACCCATACGAAGGACGGGGTACTCAGCTAGTAGTAAAATAAAAACGAAATTTAAACAAACGGTAAACGCTGACAACTCTGTCGAAGACAGAACAACTTGATTAATCATTTTATCAAGGTCAATATTCAATGTTCTTGTTCTGCTTTTTTTTTCAATGTTTAGTAGTAAAAGTTACTGTAAATGTTCATCAGTAAGAGAGGACCGATAGCATGTTTTGATAATCTTAAGTTTTGAATAAACATGCTCATAACATGTTGTAGTACCGCATAGTGTCAACATATATTTGCAGAGTGACAAAAATATTTTTGTAGGCTGGAGAATACAAGTTTAACTTTCTGAGAAACAGAAACAAGCACCCGAAACAAGCCTTGAAAAAATTGTCATTGGTGCTTTTCACGCCACTAGATTTATCATTGTCTTCGGATTCCGACTTCGAGTAACCATTTTAGAATATTATTCAGTATGAATCGCGCAAAGCATTACTGAGAGTCATTTTGAATTTCGGCAAAGCTTCCAAGTTCCACACGGAAATCCTGCAGGTTGACCTCTGGCAAAATTAGAGTTATTTAGTTGAAAGAAATGGCAGTAGTCGTCTCAATCTCATTTAGGTAAAATTTCTAAGCGAATGTTGACATGAGCGCAATTGAGAAAGAGCGACTTTGGAATGGAAAAGTTCAAAAGAATCAGTCTACTTGGAACAACGAGATTGGGAAGTCAGACGATACCTGCAATAATTGGGAAGTCAGGCGATACCTGCAATAATTGGGAAGTCAGACGATATCTGCAATAATTGGGAAGTCAGGCGATATCTGCAATAAAGATTTTTGGTCAGTACTATGACACATCTGCAAATGGACTGTACGTTTAAATACTTTCAGCACCGACAAATAATGTTGGAGTTAGCATGCTTTGACCCCAGGCATGTAGAAACACAGCTGTATCTTGGAGCATAGATAAATATTTGAAAGCACGGACAACAACTGAAATGCTGTCAACCAGAACGGGGATTAGCACATGCGCAAAACACTTTGTGGATATATGCCCTGGACTTCATTTTCGATAAGTCGCTGCGATCCAGATATATCAGCTCTCGTTTTAGAAATACCATCGAATGACGATAAAACACACTATTTAAGGAGATTACGAACTCCTACAGTAGAAGTATGCATGTGAAGCCGTTTTACTTAGAGGGAGAAGAGCGAATGCTGACTCCCGTATTGTTGATGTTGTGCCATGGATGTATTGAAGCACAATTGTGCATTGCTCTTTCACCTAAACATTTTGCATTGAGTCACACTGTATTGAGAAAATACCAGCTTCCTTAACCTCGCTTACAATCTCCTGCTTTATTTGCTGAAAAATAATTTTGATGATTTTCTCAAAGAAAGAGTTACTCAAGAAAGTCACTAAAGAGCCTCGTCCTTAACTTCTAGATGGTGCCTTTGGCTGTTTATCTGCGAATTTAAATATGTGTGCCTACTTTGCTGTAACCTAATTCACATATCTTTATTTGTTATGGCATCTATCAATTGGTGTCAACGAATCCATCATTTTATGTGGATCATCAGGATAAGATAACTGAGCAAGCTTTCCAAGTTTTTCACAAGATTGGCTAACGTCTCTTATTTCCTCTTTACTCTGTTACTGAATTTAACTTTGAATACTTCTTTTTTATTTGTCACTCAAAACCTGTTGGATAAGGCAGCAACCAAGGATGGAAAGTTACTTAATATCATTATAGCTGGTATTTTCAAGTGAACAGAAAGATGAATAGTTTGTTGTTCACTATTCCACCCATTCACTTTAGAAATGATCTGAGTCGCACCTGATATGCCTTCCCTGACACCTTTACATCATAGTCCATTGGTTTCTCAATTGGGCGATGTTATTGAACAGGCCAGCTCAATTTGCATTTGGTAGTTCAGGAAGTTCTACAGACACAGATGGCACATTGGTAATGGTAAAAGGTGTAGACCAAATAGGTTCTCCTATTTCATATTTTATAGTAAATAGTGTTTTAGATTGGAATTATAGGGCAGATGCAGAAGAAGGTGTGGCTGGTTTAATCTTTGAATTTACCAGTGAATTTGTAATTTTTTTTTGTTCTTTCATTGATGTTCTTTTCTGCCCCAACGATTTTTTCAACCCAATTTCTTTTTGTACTTCTCTGATTTTATCATAACAACCTTTCTGAATATTATAGATGTCCTTGTTGCTGCAAGCCATTTGTACATTTTCAATGGCTTCATTGATTTTCTTTTCAATATTTTTTTTGTTTATGGCCTAGTGTTGAAGGCACTTGACTCACAATCTGCGAGTCGCAACTTTTCTCTGTCCTTTCTTTTAATTTTCTATTTCTTTTTTGGGTTTCCTTTAACGCTCTGTCTCTTTCTGCTTATTCTTTTTCCAACTATTTTATCATCTTCAGCAAATTTGCAATCTCATTTCGTGCTCGTGTTTAGTCAAAGTTCTGTTTTATTTGCCTCAAAATAAATCCATTTCCCACACCAATGTTATAACGTGTTTTTTTCATTGAGAGAGGTCTCTAGGATTATTTGGTAAAACTGAGCGAAGTCCATTCCATATAACAATAAGGAATAATTTATTTCTTCTATAAAGTTTTAATACGGGCTACGTTCACTTGTAGGCTTAACTTCATAAACAATGTTTCAACAAAAATTCTGAAACTAAAGTACGTGAACTTACTTCTAAAAATTTCCTCGATAATGCGTCCGTAACAAATACGCTAACTTATTAACTCCATCATTGACAAACAGACTCGCTAAATCTCGCTGTCTCACTCACTAAAACTCTTTAAATGACACTGAACTGATGAATTAATTCTAACTCATTCAGTCTGTCATGTTTATATTATACTAGTTTTCTACGTACTATAGGAAGTCCCGCTGAATTACATAAATCAACTAGCCATGGTTTCATCTCCAATCCCCCCTAGTAAACAAAACATTAATATAATAAAAACATATCCCAAACTTTATGGCCACGTCGTTCACATTGTAAATTTGTTTTAGAGCAAAGCTACATTGAGATATTTGCTGTGTCCACTGCGGGAAATCGAATCCCGGATATTAGCATTGTAAGCCCGTAGATTTACCGCTGTCTCAACTGGGACTGCTTTGTTAACATAAATATAAATTTCGTCTTCTTCGTTAACAAGTCATGCGCATGGGGGAAAGTTTCTGGAGCGAGGCTTCACTGACTGACTTGGCCTCACTGGAGACAGTGTTTATAGTTTCAGACTGGACACAAAGGCTGATAACTCCTTAATTAATACGCTTCTGTATGATACTATCTTTATCGGTTTTAACTTGCTTCTTTACCTCATTGTCAGAAGGTGCTAGATTAAATTCTAGTTTTGCATAACTTCGTACTATACGTATTATTTTACGTATAAAAACAAAGTTGTATCAGTATTGGGAATGCCTTATTTACCATGTACAGAATCTAAGTATTCAGGAATGTATTTTTTTTGTCTCACAGCTTGTTCGTAATGATTAATCATGTGACGTTTAAGTATCTTAAAGTTTTGTTTTTTTTAAACATTTATGTAAAACGCTTTTAAGAGATTTAATAATTACTTGTTGTGTGATTCTAGTCAGAGCTCGAATTGAAGAGAAACTCAGGAGAACGTCGTTCCGATTGTTAAAATAAATATAAATTTCGTCTTTATCGTTAATAAATTATGCGCATAGGGGAACGTTTCGTGAGTAAGAAATACCCCACTGACTGACTTCGCCTTAATGGAAACACGAGTGTACAGTTGCAGTTGTGCTGACCTCCATTTGTCAGATATTATGTCCATCTCTCCATCAACTGTTGGTAAAGTTGATTTTTAGTTTACTCTTGATGTTTGTTTTTACAAAGTTATTGTAAAATGTTAATTTTTAAGTAATTAGTGACTTATCAACGAGGTGATTAAATTCATGGTATATTTGTATACACGAGAGTATCACTATCACTATAATGTATACTTCTTTCAATATATTTATGGAGTTACTAGTTGAAATGCGATAATTAATTTTAGTACATTCTCGTAATTTTCCAATCTTTGTTCTTTAAGAGCTACGAATTACCCATTATATCAAGGTTATTGATGAGTACTTGAAAGATAGAAGAATAAATGAAAGACGATGATTTACGCTCACAACCAGAATTTATATTACTGTTGTTTTGTTGAACACTGTATATATTAAAATTAAAAATTCTGCTGCCCATACCCCTCTTATAAGATTAGCTAATTGTTGGGTATTTAATTTCGAAACCTTTTTAAATCAATATTACTTACAGTGGAAACATTAATGTTCACTAACACGAATTACTGATTTATCAGAACTGTTTAAAGAACACGATAATGCTTATGAATGTCTTTTTATTTTACTTTTATCAACAGGAATATTGATATAAAAAGTACTGAAATCAAAAGTTTCTATTGTTTCTCTTTTCACAGGTATTAAAATAATGTATAAACATATTAAGGCGTTACCAGACTTGTGTGCAATTTGAAAAATATATACAAAAAACCTAAATTATTTGGAATTTACAATTTACATAAATTGCCATTGAAATCAGATTTAGAGCCACGTGATCAGATAAGCATCTGGCAACGCTCCATTAATAAGAAATGCTTATTTGAAGTTCTCTAATAAAGTTAAGTTATTTTTAATTTTTGTTACAATACTACTCTTTTGTGTAGAACCTTTTCACAATCTCTAAAATTGTCTTTGTTTTACGCGTAATGTTTTTATCTTCCATTTTTATTATCGTATTTTTCGTTTTCGGCAGCGGTTCTTAACATGTGGTTCGTGTAAAGGATGCATAATTACAGAAAGGAAGCAGCAGCGTATAGATCCCATTGTGACCCGCCAAGATAAAAAAAATCAGGTTGTTCGTAAAAAAAAGTTTGCAAACCACTGGTTTGCGGCATGGTTTTGTTTTCTGATAAACTGATTATTTTCATTTGTTCTTGTTAAAATTTTTAGTCTTAAGTTATATACTGATAACTTTCACATGCTTTTTTCTTCCACGTATATATGATTTAAGATGACACTCTAGATTTTCTGTACATCTAACTTTATTACTTTTTCAGGCCTTGATGTAACATTCATGTGTGTGTGATGTAGTATAACCTCATTTGGGTTCAGTACCAGTTTGATCTCCTGTCTGGTCTGCTGACTCTGGCGTAGCTAGGACTATGTATAAAAAGAAACAGTTAACGATCATTTACGTACATTCATTGACCTTGTAATCAGTATGTTGAGTTTCGTAAAGCCCTGGTGAGTCAACCCTATGGATCGTTCAAAAACCTGCATAAAATACTTCGCTCCGCTGGAGGGCTCAATTTCTACATCATGATCCATAATAACACCTATGTTTCAATCAAACTCTTTCATTATCCCAAGTTACTTCTATAGCTACCTAAAGGGCCAATTCCCGAAAACAAACTCCGCTAGGACACCCGTCCGTGCCACGAGTGGTTTCGTTAACTTGTGAGTGGAGGCTCTGAACATAGCTTCAAACATGGCACCCCAGGGGGTGATTAGGAGGTGCTAGGAACACAAAATCTGATGCTATATCCAGGCTCAGCGACTCTGGAAACCTAATCCTAGACCCCATTATGCTTGAGTGACCTTCCAGGAAAGTTTCTTGTAGGAGGGCTGCGCCATATAGATAAGAAATGAATAAAAACCTTATAACCCCAGCGCTTTCAAAAGGTGGACTTTTCTTCTTTTGGGAAAAACTGGAGAATGGTGGTGTAATCGAATGAGTGATATATATAAAGGGAGTTGAGTGACGTCATGAAGGTCATCCGGTTTTCCAGGAAGTATTTAGTCTACTTCTTTATGTACTGTTGTAAGCATCTCATTTCCGGTACAATGTAGCCGATGGCGAGAGTGTATGTAAAAGGATGTTAGGGATATTTTACTTTAAAAATGGATAAATATATGTATATTTAAAACTTTACTTAAGTGTTTAAAATAAAGATGACACCTTGAGACTGATTGAAAAAGATATGTTATGCTAATCAATTTATAAAAACAAGTATGGAAAATTATCTTAAATAAATAGTAAGTTTTAGGAAATTCAACGTTCACATTACATGAAAAAAAAAAAAGCAAAGAATAAAAATTATTTTTCTGACAGAGATGAAACCAATGAACGGAGATTACTGATTTCAGGATCTAGATTAATTTCGAAAGGTTGAACAGTGTTTAGATTAGCAATCCAATAATCTTCTTTCATTTCTCTATCTGCTTCAGTTTTGAATCCTGTTTCAATGCCGATGAGAGTAACATCGTTAATGGAATGATCGGGTTGGTTAAAGTGTTGAGCAACAGGGAGATCTTTTTCGGTGTTAATAGAAGATTTATGGTTGTTGAAACGTTCTCTAAGAGTTGTTTGTGTATATCCTACATATTGGTAGTTGCATTTTTTACACTGTATAAGGTCAATGGTGTTTTTTGTGACTTCTTTGGAAAATTTAAAGTTTCTTTGATTGTGCTTGTCAGAAAATGAGTCAATGGTTTTTATGAACTTGTAGGTTTGACAACGGGCTGTATTACATGGACGACAAACATTTTTGGGTGGGATGTAATTCACTTTTGTGTGAACAAGGATATCTTTTAGAATTCTGCTTCTTCGGAAGGAGACAACGGGAACTTTAGGAAATATCTGTTTAAGGCGATCGTTCAGTTGTAGGAGATGAAAATGTTTTTTCACAATTCGCGAAACGTTTCTAAGTTTAAAGTGATAGGTGATAATAAGAGGAATTATATTTGAAAGTTTAGTATTTCTCTGATTTAGGAAGTTTTTCCGCTGAGTGCTGTTAGCCTTTTCAATTTGTCTGGCGATTTCGGTATCTTTGTATCCTCTGTGTAACATGGTTTGTTTTAGATCCTTGATTTGTTTTCTGTAGTCTGTTTCATTTGAGCATATTTTCTTTATTCTAAGAGCTTGACTGTTGGTAATGGGAGGCGCGACAGCTTTTATAGTGAAGGTATTGTGGTCTGTCTATAGGTTTTTTGTACAAGTCAGTGTGTAAAATTCCGTCTTTTAGAAAAACAGTGACGTCAAGAAAGTTAATCTGGGTAGGCAAGTAATCACAGGTAAATTTGATTGTTTTGTGAAAAGAGTTTGCATGTGAGATAGATTCTTTAAGTGATTTAAGACCGGCTGTCCAAATGAAAAATATGTCGTCTATGTAACATTTCCATGTATGAGGTTTTACAGGGCCTAGTTGTAAAAGCTGGTTTTCAATATGACCCATAAAAATGTTTGCATAATTGGGAGCCACATTGGTACCCATTGCAGTACCGTTAACCTGAATGTAATACTCATTATTGAATTCGAAGTTGTTCAGAGTTAAAACCACGCTGGCAAGATCAGTTACTATTTGAGATTCAGATTGTTTAGAAATATTTAATGCTGGCTTTAGAGTTTGTAGTCCTTCATCATGTGGAATATTGGTGTAAAGGGAAGAAACATCCACCGTGCAATAAAGACTGTTGGGTGCTAACTGTCTGTTAGTATTAATATCTTCTATGATGTTAAGAAAGTGAGTAGTATCCCTTATGTAAGAGGGGAGGGTACATGGAATACATTTCATGTGTTGGTCAACAAAAGCGGACAGCTTTTCAGTAGCCATGTTTATATTAGAAATTATGGGTCGGCCAGGATTGTTTGGTTTGTGTATTTTGGGTAAGAGATAAAATCTACCAGGGAAAGCTTGTCTGGGTATCAAATACTGAAAGGTCTCTTTGTTGATTTTACTGTTTTGGAGGATTTCTTTAAGCTTATCAGTTATGGTCTTAATAAACTGAGTTGTAGGATCATGTGTAGAAATTAGTGTTCTCTAGTTGCCGGTTAGCTTCCGTGATATAGTCATCATTGTTAAGAATAACAATAGCCTCACCCTTGTCTGCTGGCTTTATTATGATATTGTTCTTCTATTTAAGATTGTGTAAAGCACTTCTTTCATTTTGGTTAATATTATAAGGATATTGCTTGGAAGATTTTAAGGTCTGTATTATGTAATTTTCTAATGCTTTAATATAACTCTCTACATGTGGTTCTGTTTGGTGGATAAGGACACCCCCGGGGTACCCTAAGTCCGCCTACAAGTATGGTCACGATTGCTCCAAAATTACTGGAGGAATTCGCGGACCAAAATTCACATAACTTATTTAATACGGAGATTATATGATTTTTGTTTTATCTGTTATTTAATATACTTTGAAATTCGTTCCGCTTGAATTACAAATAGAAGATATAAAATCTGTTTTTTTATTAGGCTGTAATAAACCATGATGTGTGTAAAAGAGCTAATGTTTATAAGTAGACACAAACAACAGTGTCTTTAAAAATATTTTAAACATAGCCTTTTGACCTATATATGTAGACTCAAAATAATATTAGTGATAAAGATACGGCACGTGACTGGAGCCGTGCCAACATTTGTTATGACTCATAAATACAGCAAATTAAGTGTGTTTCTTAACCTTACATCTGGTGTAATTTGCAGGAACCTCATTTAATATTTACCCTTTCTATAGATGTGAGATTAGAATTCTCAAAGCTTTATACAGTAACCAGGATATTAATATAATCAACATAAGGAATATTTGGTACATAATAAACGACTCTCGCATAACAAGAGGTTCGAAATTTTGGTGAATGGTGTACTAGTATCAGAAAAAGTGGAGAAGACAAGAGATGACTAAGTTTGAAGAACAATCACTAATCCTGTAATTGAGCTCACATTCCACTGGGTTAACACGGAATAATTAAAATAAAATAAAGATGTTTGAAAAATAAAACAAATG